GGACAAGAGAAGATTGGAAAAACGTTACAGTCTTTATTTTACAGTTAAAATAAATGCTTATTAAATACAGTCTAATGTTACAACTGATCGGGGATCCCTTTAAAACTTTTTAAGGCCTTTTTAACGACACCTTGAATGAAATTTAAGACCAAATTAAAAAAAAAAAAAGAAATATAAGCAAGGGTTGAGAGATACTACAGTATTAAACCCAAGCATCACATGTGTGTCACTCAATGAAACGTGTTGAATATAAAGGTATTCAGCCCTCAGGTTATATTAGCTGTATTGTAATTATTATTATAAGTGCAGATGTTTGGTTAGAAACATCCAACAAAAAACATTTACTGAATATACTGTATTTAYGTTATGAAGCTTAATTGTGTCTTAATCTCCAGTTCTGTCTTTTATAAACAAAGATTYCAGCCAGCTGTCAATAAATTTGCACTTTAACCTGAGATTTAATTTGTGAAAGTTCCACTATCAGTCGACTGATGTGTGAGATATTTTACTAACACAGAGACGGGGAACACACCTCCAGAGCCAAGAAAATACCTGATCTGCGAGGTTTTCATATTCCAAGTCTAAGATCTGAGTTTTGGACTTTGGGGGAGTGACCTTCCGTCGGGCCGTCCTGCTAACACTCTCCTGTTAAAAACAAAACTAAAGTTAATAATCAAAAGAGAGGCTCTAACAAAGACGTCTCAGCTGGAACTGTTACCTGAAGCRGCGGCAGAGGCGGAGCGTTCGGAGGCGGTGACCTGGGTGTGTCGAACAGCCAGTCCAGAGACGTGTTCACTCGGGACGGTTTAGCAGCAGGAACTCCTTCAGACGCCTCGGGGGTTGACGGGGAACTGCTCCGAAACAACAACAACGTGGCTTACAGTTAGGATTCTTTAATTTTTTTTGTTGTTTAAATCGAGCGTTTGGGTAAAGAAAGAGGTTTAAACAAAAACAGAGTCTGATCGGTGCRATCTGTCTGCTCCGTATCTGTCCGTGGCGATTTCTCTCAATTCGCCGCGGTCATCAGAGAGCAGGGATGCTGTAGGGAGAACCAGTGACGGACAGATCACCGCTTCGCTCTGCCCAGGTATCTGCCTCCCATCAAACCATCACATTAAACTAGACACCAGAGTCGTTCCATTAGAGTAAATTACCTCAACTCTTTAAGACTTATTGTGTTTACAACCTCCTCTGATTCACCGTCCTCAGGCTTCTCCTCTGAAATGAGAAGTTTAAATCATGTTAGTGTCGCACTTTCATTAAAAAAMACACACCCAGAGTGTYGCTTTGACTCATTCATGCATGTTTGAGAAATCCTTGAATCTCCTGTGGYCATGTGGAGCTGCCMAAACACTTCCTGGGACAAAGCACCGCCTATTTGTACATAGCTCCTCCCCACAAGTAAAACGTATCTTAAAAATGGATGTTCACAATTTCATTGCAAAACATGTCCAGGGTATATACAGAAATTATGAAGTTAAATTTAATACCTTTTTAATACCATCCCAATGTTTTT